CCTCCCCACTCCAGGGGGAGGATACTATAAAATCCCCATTCCCTCCCCACTCCAGGGGGAGGATACTGTAAAATCCCCATTCCCTCCCCACTCCAGGGCAAGGATACTGTAAAGTCTACATTCCCCCCCCACTCCAGAGGAAGGATTCTGTAAAATCCCCATTTCCTCCTGATCAGCTGGGACTCGGGAGGCAGAGAATAGATGGGGGTGGGGCAAAGTCAGAGGCGGTATTTACTGGTTCTCCAAACTACTCAAAATTTCCTCTATTGGTTCTCCAGAACTGGTGAGAACCTGCTGAATACCACCTCTGGAGCAGGAGTGTCAAACTTGATTTCTTCGAGATCCTGGTCAGCATTGTAGTTCTCCTCCGTGGGCCGGCCAGGTGGAGGTGCGATGGGACGGACACCTCCTGCAACACCCTGCCAACCAAATTGGGGCCCCACACCCCGTTTTGGCCAGCAGGGGGCTGCAGGAGGCCATCCAGGCTGGAAACATGGGCCGGTCCTTTGCTATTAACAGGCCAGCCCTGTGGGCCAGATTTAAGCACCCTGTGGGCCAGATCCGGCCCGGGGGCCTTGAGTTTGATACCCCTGGCATAGAGGGTTTATGATATTTGAGTGAGTTGAGAGGACTGGCTAATCATATGGATTTTTGAGCAGGATGGCGGCGATGATGACTATACCAAATCCGCTTCAGAAGCGGTGCATGTAAAAGAAGTACTTCAGTCAACCCCCATGGTCCATCACCAGGAGTTGCTCAGCCTTGGCAATTTGAGCAATTTGACTGAGACGACTTGTGAAGATCTCTGCCTGGTCCTGGAAGCGATCCACGAGAACCTAAAGGAATATCAGATAATCAGGGATGAACTGGACCAGTAAGTCCTTACCATTCCTCTGCTTTTTTCACCTTAGAATGGGGGCTATTCTAATGTAGCTAGCTCAGTTACCACAATTTGATTGCTACATTGAGATCTGGGTGAAACTGGACATACCATGACCTGTGAATGCTGTAATTATGTTTAGTTAATCACAGCATGGAGTTTAGTTTATATATTAACCCAGATTTTAGGTTTAATTTTATTTAACATTTTTACCATTAGCTCTCATTAGCCGCCTGGGCAGAAAGTGATATAAATTGAAAAAAAAACAGTAATAGTAACTTCCAAATATATAATTGTACTGGGCATGCAATGTCCTTTTCGATCTAAAATTAATTCCATCCTTCCTTCCTTCCTTCTTCCCTAACACCTCTCTCCTTTCTTTTTTCCTTCTTCCCTAACACTTCTCCTTCCTTCCTTCCTTCCTTCCTTCCTTCCTTCCTTCCTTCCTTCCTTCCTTCCTTTATCCTTCCCTAACACCTCTCTCTCCTTCCTTCCTTCCTTCCTTCCTTCCTTCCTTCCTTCTTTCCTTCCTTCTTCACTTAACAATTCCTCCATTGGGTTTGCAAGTCAACTGGCAAAGCCATATCTGAAAGGAAAGGAAGGTTGGGGCTAACCTCACATGGGGGGGGGGATGCAAGAGTTCTAGAGGGCAGGAGCAACAGCAGAGAATGCCCTCTTCCTGAACCCCACCAGCTAGAATAATCAGGCTGATAGGATCCACCGTGTGCCTCCTCTTCCGGCATGAGTGGGAATGGATCCCCTCTTATCTAGGGGGTGGAGGAAGGCGGGGAACGGAACGTTCAACAAGCATCTGAGCTTGCTTCAAGGAGAACAGGACCATGGCCAGCTCCCTATGCGTATATTCAGGCCAGGTCTCTGCAGAGCAAGCTTGCTGTCTTCTTTTCGCCATGAACTCCGGTTAACTGAGTTAAGAGTCATGCTGGTTAAGATTTATTTCTATGGACCAAGTTCTATCTCTTTCGTAGACATCTTCACATTATAAGGAGGGCACGCTCTGTCACAACCACGGTTGATTCCAACTGACATGAAAGTTGTCCTTGTAACAAAAGTGGAACGGAGAGAAGTTAATAAGGTGGTCATAGGGAAAAGAAGACAGCAAG